CCAAATATCTCTATCTCACAATGTAAGAGAATCTTTTCAAAATTACCTGTATCCAGATTAGGCTCTGGATCATCACCAACATTTAATGGATTGTTCCTTGGCATGAGAGACACAACTGATAAAAAATTCATTAAAATCCATTCATAACTTTTAAGTCATTTAAAAGAAAACAGACAAACCACCGCCTCCACCAAAGATATATAATCTTTGGTGGACATAAGTAAGCAATACATAAATTGCTTATTTACGTCCACGTAAATAAGCAAGAGATGAGAAAGGCATTATCAGTCAATCAGTAAAGAATGTCAAATCCATTTGGCATTCTAGAAAACCACAATGAGATTTTTTTTATGCACAAATAGAAAAACATGACAAAGTGGCAAACCTTCCCAAAGGTGACACACCCACCATAATTAATCCCGGTCACAATAGAACCTAGGACATCTAAAGCACTACTAACCTCATTTGACTATACTAAAGTCACTTTGAGCATTCAGCAATAAGAAAGTATCAAGGCTGCAACCAGTGTTAAGCATCAGAGTGAAGACTGAGAAATCCAGCATCATAAGGATGCACAAAAGTTTTTGGAAAATATTAACAAAAGACATTTTTGAAATGTGTTTAACTCATTACATCTGGTGTTTAACTTAAAAAAGTAAACACCAGATGTAAAAGTAGAAAAAGAAAAGCACTTTACAGTCACTCAAACACTGATGATCTTGGGCCACTATGGGACCTGGAGAAGTTGTGGTCATTGATAGAACCATGATTTCTCTCCCTACCAGAAAATTTTAAAGGAGAATAGTCATCAATTTGTGACTTTAAGGTCTAATGCATGCAACGTAAATAAATGACAGAAGATTACCTAATTAGAGTACAGCCCCTGAGACTGGTATGTGATTTTATGAAGTTAAATAGGCTGTTCATGGTGCAAAACCATCCAGTAGTACTAATATAAAACAACTCTTAAAAAGAGAGTGGGACAACATTCCTTTACAAAGTGATTTAAAATATTATAGATGCCAGTTATTAGCAAAATGTTTGATAGCAACCTGCCACCAACTACAGTATTTAGGGCAGGGGTGTCAAAGTTATTTTTATATTAGGCCACTCAGTCATCATCACATCATGAAAAGAGCCAGCTGCACAAATGAAACATTTGATTTCATAAATTCCTTTACAAATAGCACGCTACTCTGGTATTATAACTTTATTTTCCAGTTTTTACTGCTTTGTACACTTTAGAAGAATATGTTTTTTTACTTTATGGCATGATATGTCTTTTTTGGCTCTATGGGGTGCGACAAATTGCGCTAGTGCGTGTGAGCGGGGGTACATAGAAGAAATCTGTACTGAAGAAAATTCTTTTGGATGGCATTTATTGTTAATACCCAACATCCAATGGCGGAAATTTTTTTGTTTACACATACAGTAATAAAATGCTTTTCAGCTAATTTTTAAATCTTGCGATCTAGACTTAGCGTGACAATTTTACAAGAACTCTGATTTCATCTCAAATAAACAACAGTCCTTCTGCCGCTAGATTCACTGTTGTGGTCTTTTAAAGCCAAGTAAGAGATTTTCCCTTGGATTAGCCTATGTCTCAATCCAGGATTTTTTATGATTAACTATTTCATTGATATGAAGTCTCAGATGGTAGGTGTTTATCCTTTCTAACTGGTGCATCAGAATGAACAGGAGCTGACACACTATTACTGTATGTTAAATAAAGTGGCGATGTCTGAAATATTATACTGCTTAATGACAGTGTTAAGTTTTACTTTATAACCATTTTGGATGCTCAATGTTTATAAAAAGCTGAAAGGCTGGGGCCACCGCCTGCTTGGGACTGAATGGACGAGTGGACTCGCTTCAGCACCAGCCAGGCCCATCTGCTTGTCACCTGGCCCTGGCATGCAGGAGACCGGGTAATGACAGGGAAAGAATGGCATCAGTAGGCAGGAGCAGAGCGGTAATTACAGACTGGAATCCATGCAGAAACGACACATCTGGATCCACAAGTCAAAAATGTGGTGAATTATACTCCGATACCAGCCTCACTTCATGATTTCTATCCGTCAGAAGTGCAATATCAGTCTGAAGACTTAAAATCCTTGACTCTGTATCCTACTTTCTCTGATCTTGATGCTCTCCTGCTTGGAGGCAGAGACAAAATTCAGTCACACTTCAGGCAATAAAAAAAAAAACTAGGGACGCTGCTGATATGGCAGGCCAATCTGGGTGGAAGATCAGCCATGGCAGCGCTATATAGCGACTCATGCGTTACTTCTTACTCCATCACAGCTCACACATTTCTCTTAAACCCTATTACCACTGATCAATGCTGCCTTTTTCACAGCTGCAGAGAAATGATCTGCTTGAAAGTAATATTTCCTCAGCATATTTTAAGGGTGAAGCTTGCACAGTTCTTTATTCTGAGATTTTTTGCACTGGTGGATATGAAGATGACCTGTAATGACATGGTAATGAAAGCTTGCATTGCCTTATAATTAACATTTAACCCCCTCCAAAATATGTTGAATTCCCATTAAAGGACTATTCTCCTCGATGAGAAATAGACTGACCAAGGAAGTTAATGAAATCTCGCAGTCGGTCTTCGAGCATCAGCCGTCGCCAAATGACCCTCCTTTAATCTCTAGACGAGGTGACTCTGTTTGGGAGCCTCAGGGAGTTGAGACGTGTGCCACATTCTGACCGAGCTTTCAGTCCCGCATCGATGATCGCCTTCAAAACTCAGTCTGCTAAGAGGAAAGAGACCCCCGCTGTGTGGAGTCTGAGGTCCTTTCTCCCCCTCCCCCTACCTCACTGCTTCAAATTAAGATTTTAGTAATTAAATTGATAAAAGTCATGCACGCCTATATGCCTCTTGGTTCCAGACCTGATTTCTGTCGCCACACAGAAGTGGAAAGCCGTAGAAGTTCTACCTTTGATGTAGCATTCTTTATTATTGAAAATAATTGGATTCTCCCTCCTCCATCCCTCTCCTCTCTCCCTGTACCTCTCTTTTACACACACACATACATTTTGCCTATATTCATTCCAGCTGAGCTCAATTATTGACCTTATATGAAGCAGTCCCCATTTTTCCTGAGATTACAACTTAAGTGTTGTGCTTAGGTTTTTCAGCAGAGGCCTGAGTAGCCAAGGCAATGAGATGTCAACACAGGTCAGGGGTCACTCTGCAGTTTAGAGTGGCCCCTGCTGGGCCTCCATCGCTTTAACTTTCATATCAGCCTGGCCGAGCGATCAAAAATAGTCTCTTTGGCCCTCAGGCAGCTGGCTTCCCTCCACACTCAGCAGAACAGGCGATAATCAGCAGAAAGAGACCCCTGATGATTGCTCTGGCTCTGCCTAAGACGGCTGCTAACTGCTTGCCTGCTCACTTCCTCAGGATGTCAAACTAATACTCACATCTGAGACAACCCTCCCTCCCACCCCCTTCACCGTTAGCCTGCAGAAAAGCCTGCGCTGTCCATCCATCTTAGCTCGCTTTGTACCGCTGGCAAATGTGAATTTAATTGCCCCTGGAAGAGACTGAAGGGATTTTTGATTTCCCTCTTTATGTCATCCTCTATCAACAACAGGCAGATGTTACAAATGCCGGCTAGTTCATTACCGTCTGTCCTGTGAGCTTATCCCCATTCTAAGGAAGGTGCTACGCAGGTAAAGAAGTATGACGATCTGAGGCAGGGCTGCCGTCAGGCTCAATAATGTATTTGACACCTGGCTGGTGAGACGACGAAAGGAAGAGAACAATTGCTACCCTATTCTAGTGAAATTATTCAAGTCAGTCTGGGCTTTTCGTCGATCAGGTCAGCTCCTTTTAGACCTCTATCTGACAACTACAGTTCAGCTGAGTAGGCATAGGAGACTTTAGTTATTTTCTAGATGCAACTGAGGACCGGAAAGAGAATAAAGCATCCTTCAGATGTTGTTTATGAATAAAACGAACCTGCAAATCCTTAAAATGGAAAAATTTAAAATTCATCTTTTTATTACGTTCATCAGGTTAGGCTCCATTGAGTTTGGTCTTGGTACCTTGGAATAATATTCTTTGCTTTTAACGTTTTTTCTTTTTTCAAAGATGGGTCTACTAATAAGAGGAAATCTGAAGGCAATTGCCTGCAATTGATTTTGACTATCAAATTACCAGATGCTTTCTTAATTAACACTTTAGATCAGCCTTCCACACAATAGCTCAACTAAATACAATGAAGTTTGAAGCTGTAAGTTAAAATGTAACAAGATTCCTGTGGGATCTACGGCTTTGCAAGGCACTGTATATAGAAACTTCCTATAACATTAGGTAATTCAAATTTAAAGATTTAATAAGTACCTATTAGAGTTTTTTTCTACTTAATTTAATGCATCCATGGAATGTTGAAAAAAATGTGTAAAACTTTCTTCTGGGATTAATGGACAAAAAAAAAATCTATATAATTAGGAAACCTTTTAGATTCTATTGGGTGTAATATTGTCTGAATTTCTAAAATACTTAACATGTACAGCTTTGTTTAAGGGAATAATTGGACCTTTGACTCTGTAATAACACTCTTTTGATGAGTTGTTAAAGATGTGTTGGTTGGGCCCATTACAAGGCCCATCTCCACATTTGTTTGGAGGCGTTTACAGTTCACTGCAGGCTATTGTGCTAGATGTGTTGCTACATGCTGAAACTATCAACCAGTAATTACTTCGGCTTATGCAACAATTATTCAGACCAGGCTCTGGTATTCACTGGAGAGGACTATCTATACTGAAGTCAGCCAACAGTGGTTGTAGCCAACACTGAAGTACATAACTTATTAACTCTTCTAAGCACATAAGCCTTTTCAGTATTCTGTAGCTTAAGTGGGCTCAGCTTTGGCTGCTCCATACTATTATGACGGGGCTTTTTGTGACTCTGGCCTCTTTCTTCAATGCAATTTTCAGAGATTATGGGAACAAATTAAAGCTCTTTCTTTGCCTCTTTTGTGCAGGTATATCCAAGGTGCATCGTCTCCAAAGGACATGGTCATCATTGTAGATGTGTAAGTATTTCACTTTTCTTTCACCTTGTCCCCAGCTCCAGTAGAGATTAGAATTTGCCTTCAAAGGACACCAGTGCCACCTGTTGGTCTGAGGGGAAGCTAAGGCTATAAGATGAAAATTGCTTCTTATCCTTTAACCTTTGAGCTTTACATCCTGATTTTACAGCTCAGGTGATTCATAAAGGAGTAGAGAAATGTGACATTGGACATTTTAAAATGAGAGGGAGGACATAAACCCTTAGTAATATGAAGTTGTGTGAGAATTCTGATGAGAATGTTTGTGTATTTTTCTAATATTCAAGCTTAGAGCATTTAGCATAATAGTATATTTATTTTATATGAATAAGCACTGAGTATTAGATATTATAAGCTTTAATAGTCTGCAATATTTCTTAAAGGACTGAATGTTTACTTTCATAACAGAGCAACTAGTTATTGATTTCTGAATTATAATAATGAATGAAAAAGGTATATAGAAATACTGTGTTATTTTCTTTTTTAATTACTTTTACTAAAGATTTATAATTTTTGTTTGCTTATTTTCTTTTATTTCATAGCTATTATTTTGGTACAATTATGTTTTTGTTATGTGGTTGTGAGTTGTGTTCATGAAGGATCACAATAAAAATCATACCTTAGTTTTCAGTTTTTGGTGTGACTTGGTTATAATATTTCACTGGAAGTCAAAATGCTGCTGTCATTGTTTTTTCTAAATACACAATCTAAATAATTTAAAAATAATGCATAGAACAGATCATTGCAAAAAGAACATTTTGGAAAGTAAGAAATACTATAATATCAAATAAGAAAAAAAATTGTATGTATGTGTTTTTTGATGTCAGTTATATATGTTTGATGGACCTTGTTTTTACATGAAAAAAGTAAGTTTGTTGCTTAAATTATTCAAGATTTGTCAGCTTTCATAAAGAAATAAAATCATAAGTTGAAATTTTCATATGAGCAGTTGCTCTGCTCTTTGTTAAACTTCTCAAGGGAGATTTAGAGGATCTTCCCCTCCCTTATGCTCCCGATATTACATTACTAGCTATCAGGTTAAGGGTCATTTACAGTAGTGTTAAGCGTTTTGGAGTCCCCTGACTTGAAAAATAAGCACAGGTCAGTTAGTATTGATCATTTAAATGTAATTTTACCTAGATTTTTTAATTATAGTTTATATTTCTTGTATCACTATAAAGTTATTAAAAGAAAAATAGAAACTGGATCATGGGGGACTATGATGCAAAGGCTAGATAAATTATACCTTAAATCCTAGAAAAAAAAAACTATATGAATGTCTGCTTATTTCTGAAAACCAGTGTTCTTTTGTTGTTTGCAGGAGCGGCAGTGTCAGCGGACTTACTCTGAAGCTCATGAAAACCTCTGTCATGGAGATGCTTGACACACTATCAGATGATGACTATGTCAACGTAGCAAAGGCATGTCGAAGCTCTATTATTATGTGTAGATATTAATATAACCTACTGCTTAAAGTGATTTTGCTGCTAATATTTGAAGGGGTGATTTTTTTTATTTGGCCGTTATTCTAATTAACCTGAGAGTCATTAGGTGCAGCAGTTGTCTCATTCTGTCCCCAAATGTTTTCTTGCTGTTGAAACCCAATCTTTCCTCTGTTTGTTTTTTCTTGCATTGCCTAATGACCATGCATCTGTCTCCTCTACTCTCTGCTGATCACCAACTTTTCATTGACTAAAACTAATATGTGTGGGAATATTATTGTTGTTCTATTCTGCAGGGCAGAGACCACAAAAAAACTTTCTTCCTTACTTTCCACAGTGTATACACCGACCCACCCACACACATAAACACACATCCACACACAGCTGCTTGGCGTGGTGTTTCTGTTTGTCGACTCTCTTCGGTAATCCTTCATAATCCATTGCTTTTAGCCACTGTATGGCCCTAAATCCCAGCTCCAAGAGCAAGAAATGAGCATGCTAATCTGGGTGGGAACGCATCTGATTTTCTCCACTGCAAAGAAAGTGAGGGCATACATTAGCCCGCTGCATACAGCTTGCACTACCTAAACACATTCATAACATGCAGAATGGCCCAAAAAATATCACAAAATTATATCTTCTGGTCTGCATATATCAGGAGATTACATTGATTATATTATAATTTTTATCAGAAAGGACATACTTCAGAAAACAACACAGTTACAGCAATAGTTATCACATGCACAGTCTGCTAAATATACTGTATATAAAAAAATTTATATTACGTCTTTTGTTTCTTTTATTCCTTTTATATGCTACTTATTTATGTCCTTCAACTCCCTTCCTTTTGTTTCTTCCTTCCTTGCAACATACGTCTCTTCCTTCAGTCCTTTCTCTGTAAAATCACAATTGGCCAAAAATTGCTCACACGGTAAATAATTATACGAGCAGTTTTATTTAAAACACATGATCAAATCAACTGTCCATGCACATTTTGATTGTTTTACACATGCAAATTTAATACCATACATCCCCGAATATATCATAACTACGAGTGTGTGTTGGTGTTTAATACACCTGCAGCTTCTCTCCTCCTGTGTGGACCTGTTTCTGTGCACTCAGCTCAACCTTCGTCACTTTAAGGGTAGAACCAACTAGAGAAAGTAAACTACCTTTATGGACTGCTTTTTAGAAAATCTTTAAGATGTTTTAAGACATTATTGTTTTCTCCCAAGGTGCAGCTATTAAAGTAAGCAAAGCATCATCGGGCTAATCGCTAATAGCACAGAGAAGAAGTATGCAGTAATGTTTGTGATATATTTGGGGGGCCCATATTGAATCTGCACCCATAAAACATTCAAAATGTGCGTGGAGAGTAGATTGCATGCCTTTGTGTTAAACCAAACTGCTCGTATGAGTATTTATAATGCATGTGGTCTTTTGGGGGAGTCCTAACTTCATATTCCATTGCTTAATTTTCTCCTCCATTTTTTTTTGTCCTGCTTTAGGGCCTATCCTCCTTTCTTTTTCCATCTTTACTTTTCCATTATCTCTTCCAGCTGCCCAGCTTCCATCCTTGAGTCCTTTCTTCCTTTGGGACTACTTCCTGGTATCCTACCTCCCATAATTATTTTCTCTTTTATTCCTTCTGTTCCCTCTCATGTCCTTTCACCCTTTCTTCTGTGCTTTCTGCAATTTTACTTTTTCTTTCCTTCCCTGTGCCTTTATTTTGTTATTTCCTGGTATCCTCCTTCCATATGGCTATGTGTCCTATCATCCTTCCTTTCGATTATCTTCCCCACCTTGTGTCTTTTCTTCCTTTTGTGCTTTGCCTTTTCCTTGTCTCCTCTCTTTTTCTCATGTCCTACTTTATTCCAGCCTCCTTCTTGCCTCCTACCTGTTTCTTCTATGTGGTTTTATCCTTACTGTAACTTCCTTTTTTTCTTTCCTACCATCTCTTTATTTCATGTTTCCTTATTTCTTCTCTCTATCATTTCAATACCCCTCTTTTATTTCCTTGCCTCCTCGCTTCTTCCTTTAGACTTTTTAAATGACAAAATATGTAATATCTCATACTCATCATCCTTTTATTCAGGAACTCTGTTTTTGTTTTGTATATTATACAACAGGACAGCATAATGATATTTGACTCAGTTTTATTACCATTTGATTTCTTCGCCTCTTTAAATATGTGACAACAACAGCTCCCATGAGAAATGTCAGCGTTTCTCACACACAGTGTTTTACATCAATCCATGTTGAAAATGTCAGTGGAATCTGAATCTGACCTTCAAGAAACATTTGAAACACCCACTTTCAGAGTCACCACTAATGTTGCAATCATGCATATACACTGTGTGCAGACATATTCACAGATGCCCCCCCCGCCAACCACCTCCACCACCACCACACACACACAGAGGAACATAAACTCAGTTTTAGGCTAATTTGGTGGATGAGATGAGACAGATGATATTACCTTGGCAGGGTTTCTGTTCGGCGGGCTGCACAAGCGTTTCAGGTGCACCTGTTCTTTGTGGGGAAAAGTTGTAATTATCGGTGTTTACTGCCAGCAGGAGAGTGGCAGGGCAGCTTGCATCTGCACACACCCATGTCTGTATCCTGCCTCCATGAACTGCACACACCAGACAGATAACACAAAGATACTCGGTTGGACACAATGTTATTTTGGCAAACTTCTCAGTGTTCTTCTCTTGTAAAGCTAAACTGCACTCATGTTTTTTTTGTTTGTTTGTTTTTGTCTATTTTTCTGTTTTCCAGTTTAACGAAAAGGCAGAGGCTGTTGTCCCGTGTTTCAGGACTTTGGTCCAAGCCAACGTTCGCAACAAGAAGATCTTCAAGGAAGCTGTCATGCATATGCAGGCCAAAGGAACCACAGATTACAAATCTGGCTTTACGTTTGCCTTTGAGCAGCTTCTCAATGTAAGAGCTAACAAGCTTTTCTAGAGGAGGCAGCAGTGTTTTTCTGTGGCTGATGTTTCTGTCTAATCCAATTAATCAAACTGAGTTTATCGTGATAACACAAGGCTGACAGTGAGCCAGATTTGCATTAGACATTTCCAGAAGGCTGTCATTTCTGAAGGCAGGCTTGATTATGGCTGCCATTGCAGTAGAGTGAGGCTAGTCCTTTGCGGCAGCCAACACAAAATGAGGTCTCTCAGCAGCACACCGTCCACGTGCTCCCGGCACAGGTGCTGCCTCAGCTCCGAATGCTGCTGCGCATTTTTTGAGGCTGCCACGCTAATGGGCTCTGATGGGATGATTGATGAGCATAGCCAACAGTAGAGCAGCCATAGACACTTCATATTCCTCTGGTGTGCTTTAGGAGGCGCAGAGCCAAGAGTCTTCCCTTTTTTTTTTTTGAGGAAGGAGAAATGAAAAGGAGGGGGTTCTTAATCGTTGTCTGATGCAGCTTTGCAGAATGATTGGTGGCAGAAGCACTAAAAAAGAATGTTATCGCAGCAATATTATTTATCTTTATTAGAATCTTGTCAGATTGGCCTAAATATCAGCAACAGCTGTTGTGTTGTTTGGGGGGGAGCCATATTTAATGATTGGATAATGTTGTATACCGGAGATTTAATCCTAACTTTATGCCTCAAAGAGGAAGACTATGTCTCTAAAAAAAGAGAGATTATTCTAAACAGGATGCACTTCTGAAAAAACGAATATTTACAACAGGATTATATGGTTCTTATAAGAAAATTAAAATAATTTAAAATGCAAGAATTATGTTTGATGAAGGATTAATAGAATGAAGGGTACAGGTTTTAGGTAAGATGCATTAGTTGCTACTTATAAAAGTATACACAGGCTTAAATTTTCTTACATTTGTTACATCCTGAAATGTGTATTTTACTGAACATTTTAATAAATAATAGTGATAACATAACTACATTAAAGTGGAAGAAAATTAATTTTAAAATAATTTAAAAGGAAAAATGTTATTTGCATGCACTCTGTCTCCCTTTTATCAGTAGTTTGTAGAATCAGTTATTTTAGGTCACCATTAAACATGAGCTTCAATATCCTAAAACTTGTCATTGTGTGTCTTCTCTGCATTATTAGATGAACTGTCCTGTGGAAATTTAACACTTCATGACAGTCAGTTTTTAGTGTTTATTTTTAAATTTGCACACATGTTGAATGTTTACTTATTAAGTTACTTTTGAGGTAGTTGATTAACCTGGCAAGAAAGATTGATCATGTAAATCAGTCTGGGCCTGCTCCCATTGAATCTGTTAGGGGGAAAAGGGACAATATAATATTTATGATAAATTTTATTTGTAATGCACTTTACATTTAAGAAAAATCTCAAAGTTCTACAGATAAAATCCAAAAGGTAAAAGGAAAAAATGAAAAACTAATCATCTTTGTAAAGTATATGAATAAATAAGTCGTTGGCATAATTCTAAAGGTTAAGAGTCGTAAGTTCAGCTAAAAAGAAATGTTTTTTATTGTTTTATAAAAGTCTGGATAGTCTGTGGTTCCCTCAGATGATCAGGGAGGGCATTCCAGGTCAGAGGAGCAGCAGAGCAGAAGACACGATCGCCCATGTTGCTTAGCTTAGTCTTTGAGACTAGGAGTTGGTTTGAGTGTCTTGAGCGGCAGGATTGTGTTCTAGTGAGAGGGTTCAGCAGTTCCTTCTGGTATGGAGGAGCATTTCCATAGATGCACAGGTGGGTGAGAATTGAGACCTTGTATTAAATCCTTGCAGAAACAGGAGGCAGGTGAAGTGAGTGGAGAATGGGTATGATGTTGTCCTACTTTCAGACTCTCATCAGGATCCTTGCTGTTCTTCACATACTGTAGTTTCTGTAGACTTGTTAGGGATCCCGATGAGAAGAATGTTACAGTAGTTTAGACTGGAGGAAACAAAGGCATGAACCAGTTTTTCTACATCAGCCAAGGTGAGTGTAGAACTGAGTTTTGAAATATTTCTTAGATGATAGAAGGAGATTGTGTGCAGAGGTGTTTTATATGGACTTAAAGGTGAGTTGTGGATCAAATATTACACCAAGATTGATGACTGTTGTGCAGAGGGGAATGTCCTTGCCAGTAATGGAGGATGACTGGACTTGGTGTGATGTGCCAAAAAGGATTGCCTCTGTTTTGGAGTGGTTCAACTAGAGAACATTTTTTCGTCCACATCTTTATATCCTCCAGACAGGCTGTGAGTTTTGAAGATGATGATGCTATTTTTGAAGCTGCAGTGGGATGAGACTCAGATTTTATGTAAAGTTGTGTATCATCAGCATACAAGTGAAATGAGACTCCATGGTGGCTGATAACATGACTGAGGGGGAGGATGTAGATGATGAAGAGGATGGGCCCAAGGACTGATCCCTGGGGGACTCCGCTGGTGCCTTTGTGTTGCTGGAAACTTGTATTGCCATTTGAGATGCACTCTGTTCTGGCAATTAGGTTTGATTGAAACCACTTCAGGGCAGTGTCAGAGAGTCCAGTAGTTTTGTTTAGCCGGTTCAGAAGAATTAGAAGATCTAAAGTGTCAAAAGCAGAAGACAGATCGAGAAGTACGAGGATGGAAGGTGAACCTTTATCTGCTGCCATTCGTAGGTCGTTTGTAACTCTAACCAGGGCTGTTTCAGTGCTATGAGCAGAGCGAGATTTCTGGAAGGCATTATAGGGGCTGTGAGATTGCAAGCTGTGAGTTATCAATTGGGGTGGGTAGTGCTGAGGAACCAGAAAAGGAAGAGTTGATTAAGTCTATTTTTGTTTTTAAAAAGTCCATGAAATTATTGCAGTGCTCTTCTGTAGTTTCTGTAAGTGAGGGGGTTATTGGTTTGAGAAGATGGTTTATGGACGAGACCAGCTATCTGAGGTTTCCAGAACTGTTTCTAATGACATTTCCATTAAATTGTGACCGTGCCCTTGTGAGTGACTTTGAGTAGTCTTTATTGTGTTCTCTGAAAGCTGGTTTGTGCACAATAAGACCTGTTACTTTGAATCTCCGCACATTCAGCAGAAGCTATTGAGCTAATTGGGGTAAGCGACACCTGAAGCCTGCCTATTGATTTTTTTCTTAGGTAGGTAAAAGGGCACAAACTTTGTCATCTAGTGTGCCTCTTGTAGATACTGAGAAAACCAATATGATAGCAGCAGCTATGCGTGCATCCTCCTGTGCTGCCATGTTTATTTTGGTTCGGCTGTGGGCTCAGCCTCTCTTCGTTTGCAATTTCTCTATGTCCTGCGTTAAACCATAATAATGCAAAATGATTGGCCAAATGGAAAAGATGGATTCTCATGTGTTTCTGAATGCACTGTCACCGATGAACGATTCAGCATGTGTGCAAAGTTATAGTTTAACCGCTTTGAATTTTATTTGGATGTAAATCACAAGAAATATTGGAAACTTGAAAACCATTCAGCATTTTCCTCCCATTTTACAACTATGGGGTTATTTTGTGTCGATGTAAAATGTTAAATGTTGAATGTAAAAAGAAAAAAAGTTATAGGAAAAGTAATATTTTACGAAGTCAGACTTCTGATGTTGGAAAAAAAAGGTGCGGCGTAAGATAGCTGTATCACTGAGACTTTATATTTTTTGTCTGATTTCTGTAATCTGTTTCTCTGTTTTTCTTCACTTTCCTCCGTACGCCTGTCACAGGAGAGCAGTGCCCCGAGGGCCAACTGCAATAAGATGATAATGATGTTTACAGATGGAGGTGAAGATCGTGCTCAGGAAATCTTTGAGAAGTATAACTGGCCCAACAAAACTGTGAGTATGTTTGTGTTAGCCTGTTTTCTGTCCAGGGATTCTATTCTCCACCTTTTTCTGTCTATTTTGTCTTTCTATAAAGCAGAGAGTTGTGTTAGTCCGATATGCCAGGCATTCCAATGTGTTCAAACCATCCTCTCCAAGATTTCTTCCATTTCTGTCTGTTTCCTTTGATTTTCATAATTGATCTCTTTTGTCATTCTGTCATTCCCTCTCCTCTGAAGGATCTAAAGAATCTTCTTCACATGCTTTGTTTCTTCTTTTTTCTCCTTTGTTGCTTAGCTTCTGGTGTTAACAGCTCTGACCTGATGACTAATTAGCCACTGTATCATCAGAGTCTGCGATAGCACAGCCACTGATCTACTAGCTTGAATCTTTTTTGTCTTACTGTCGCCATCCATCCTCTTTACTAATCTGTCAATTTCAATTTAGTTAAGCTGCAGGAGAAATTAGTTTATGAATGAATAAAGTAACAAAGTCCAATATAAATTCACTGGATTACAGTTCAGGTAAATCGAGCACATTTTAAATCAATCTATCTGTTATTCTCTATCATATTGGTTTAAATTCTGATGCAATTTCAGTTTTTCATGCAAATCAGATTCCATCAAAATCCAATCTATTTATGATCTATTAAAGTGTATTCTACCCTGCAATGGATGCATGATATGCAATAAAATATTTTTATAAAGTGTGTTTTGAAGCGTAGGAAGTTTTGCTGTGAAAGTCCTTTATTAGCACTTTTGTCAAGAGTTACCCATTTTTTTTCTCTTCCTTTTTTGTTTTCTTGTCCTGAACCAGGTTCGAGTTTTTACTTTCTCTGTTGGACAGCATAACTATGATGTCACCCCTTTGCAGTGGATAGCGTGTGCTAATAAAGGTAAGCAGCACAAATAAATAATTTTTATAAAAAAGCAAAAGGGGTTATTTATTTATGTATGTATTTATTTATTTACAAAACCTGACAGTTTAAATCATTGTTCATTTATTTAGAGTTGTATAAAACCAAATATATTAATATAACTGCAATATACTACAATAACATGCACAAAAACAACAATGATAACAGCTAAACAACTAACACACCAATAGTTTGACTAGTTTTTCACTCAGGGACCGGATATTTTGCATGCCAAACCCACTGATACTGTGAATCACATTGAGATTGTTATTTTCTATTACTAATTTTATTTAATTCATTTTGGAGAAGTAACTTTTGTGTGACTCCTTTCAGATAAAAACTGAAACTAAATGGGAAAAAGTCTGACCTTGAGAGAGGAGAGATTTTTATAGACGCTACAGGAATTGAAATTATGTAAAGGAAACATTTATTTTAGATGTAAGAGGGGAATTCTGAATAAAGAGAGTAAATAACCTTTTCCTACTTTCCACAACAAAAAAGTTTGTGGGCTTTCAACGATAATGCACACAAAACACTTGGTTTTGATTGATATATATTTTTTTTATTTTGTTTTTCACTTTTAAAGATTAGAAAATTAACAAAAATAAATAATAGGCAGAAACAGCAAATAGAATATATATATATATAGAGTCAACCCAAAAAAAAAACAGCTCGTTTTAAACAGAAAATA